TTTATGTTCTTCAGAACAACCGGAATATTTGTGATGTTTGGGCAATCACAGAGGGAGATTTGTTCAAGGGCATGCAACTGAATAATAGTGCTTGGAAGATTATGAATTCGGCTACCACTCATATCCAAATCAGCAAGTTGATGGAGAAATCCGATTGATGAGGGTATTTCTTCTAGTTGATTCTTGCACAACAGCAATCTTTCTAAGTTTCTGGGAACTTCTGGGAATAGGTCGATGGAGCAAACTTCGAGATGGAAAATTTTAAGAGATTCCAACTTAAAGATATTCTTTAAAACAGTTTTAACCCTTGAGGGGAACACGCCTAATTCCTTGAGTTGGTGGAGGCACCCGATTGAGTCGGGAATTTCTTCTACCGCAGTGTTTCTGAATCTCAAATTTTGAATATGCTGTGGAAGTTCAGGAAATTTCTTCAAATTTAGTAAACCTTCAAATAATACGTAAACGTTAAGAGATATCAAATGAATCATGGATGGGAGTTCAACCAAGCTTTCGCATCCATTGATTTTTTGTTGTTCAATATTTATGGCCGCTGACAAATTTGGGATGCTGGTTAAATTCTCGCAATAAGAAAGATCAAGCACCCTTAAATTCGCAAGATTCTGTGCAATGAAGGCAAAGAAACAATATGAGATTGGTTTAAACTTTAAAGCCTCTGAACTAAAAATTGAAAAATGTGTTGGGGTTCCGTTTAGTGGGGTACAGAGTGACAAAAGAAAGACAAGCAACGCGGAATGGTAGAATAAAGGAGTAAAGCAAATTGTAAAGTGACAAAAGAAGAGGCAGGAGTCATGGTGCCTCGAAACCAGAAGGAGCTTCAAAAAGTGACTTAAGATTGCCTCAAAATCTTAGTCCAGATACAAGTATGAAGAAAACGATCAATTCGGTGGTATCACGGCCTTTTCTAATATCAGCCATTCCCTTGACTCTCTGTTTTGTAATCTGCTTTCCTTCGAACAATCACTTGCATCTTCATTCCCTTCGTGGTAGCAAATTGAGAAAGTTAAAGCTAACCTCCAGGCTGTGACCAACTTTACAAATTTGTTCACAAGTTCTGTGATCAGGTATTAAAACTCTAGAGAATAATAAATATGAACAAACACAGTTTCTTCAAGTACTTGCAGGAAATGCCTAATCAAATTGTTTGGTTTTCCGTCCTCGCTACGCAATCGGTTAGTAGAATGGTGGACTCTTATTCCATTAACTTAGTTCAATCCCGAACAACCTTAATTATAAAAAGAAAAAAAGTTGTTGGTTTTTGTTGGGTTAAAAGCTTTCAATCCAATCACACTAGCGAAAGCGAAATCAAACACACAAGAGACAACAATTTAACGCAGTTCGGTCCAACTGACCTACATCCACGGATGAGAAACAAGATCCACTAGTTGTAGAGAATTACAAACATATATCAAATCATCAACCTCACTCAACAATCAATACTCATAAGACACTCTCAATCTCCTCTAGTCCTATGGAGTATTCTCAACCCAGACAAACACAAACCCAAACCCTTGTGCACTCTTTCAACATAACCAAACATATACCCATATGCTCTCATACATCATACATATGTGGACTCTCTCAGTCTCCTCTAGTCCACTCACAAACAAACATACACACCCATAAGACGTAGAGCCCCAATACTCCTATGGGGTGTCTATCCCACAAAACCCTACAAATTTCTTACATCTTTTTCTCATACCTAACCCTGTAGAGACTTCACCTATTTATAACCATGCAAACTTGCCTATTAAGAATCCCTTTCCTCTTAGAATTCTTCTCCTGTAAGTCAAACTTGCCTATTAAGAATCCCTTTCCTTTTAGAATTCTTCTCTTGCAAGTCGAACTTACCTATTAAGAATCTTTTTTCTCTTGGAATTCTTCTTTTGCAAGTCTTCTTGTCCATCAAGCAATATCTAACAAATCTCAAACAAATCTCTAACAAATCTCAAACAAATCTCTTATGGGATTTGAGTCAATATTCCCAACAATCTTCACCTTGACTCAAATTCCATCAATCATCTGTCTTCATGTTAGACATGCTTGGCTCCACCTGCAATGGAAGTCTTACAATCGTCTTCTCTTCTCTTGTGTCTTCACGCTTCATACAAATCAATCCTCAATCTTCAAAATTTAAACTCAAACTCTTCTCTTGAATCAAGCTTCTCTAAGCTTACTTCTTCCCATGTTTCAAACCAAGCTCTTCCCATATCTCGAACTGTCAACTCTTCCCATGTCTCGAACCATCGACTCTTCCCACATCTTGAATCTTTAACTCTTTTGACGTTTCGAACCTTCAATTCTGATACCACTTGTTGGAGAACACCACAGCTCTGATACCATTTGTTGGGCTAAAAGCCTTCAATCCAATCACACCAACGGAAGCAAAATCAAACAATAAATCAAACACACAAGAGACAACAATTTAACGTGTTTCGATCCAACTGATCTACATCCACGGATGAGAAACAAGATCCACTAGTTGTAGAGAATTACAAACATACATCAAATCATCAACCTCACTCAACAATCAATACTCATAAGACACTCTCAATCTCCTCTAGTCCTATGGAGTATTCTCAACCCAGACAAACACAAAACCAAACCCTTGTGCACTCTTTCAACATAACCAAACATATTCCCATATGCTCCCATACATCATACCTATGTGGACCCTCTCAGTCTCCTCTAGTCCACTCACAAACAAACATACACACCCATAAGACGTAGAGCCCCAATACTCCACAAAACCCTACAACTCTCTTACATCTTTTTCTCATACCTAACCCTGTAGAGACTTCACCTATTTATAACCATGCAAACTTGCCCATTAAGAATCCCTCTCCTCTTAGAATTCTTCTCTTGCAAGTCAAACTTACCTATTAAGAATCCTCTTTCTCTTGGAATTCTTCTTTTGCAAGTCTTCTTGTCCATCAAGCAATATCTGACAAATCTCAAACAAATCTCTAACAAATCTCAAACAAATCTCTTATGAGATTTGAGTCAATATTCCCAACAGTTTTCCTACTACAAATGTTAAACCAAGGATCTCCTCTATCAGTAATGGATATATTCACACTTTACCCCTGACTTTTTTTTCATTATACATTTCATTGTTTCAACTCCTTTTTGTAACTGTCTTTTCCATGGGTGAATGGCGAAAGACATAATGGATGTAAACAAGATGTAGGCACCGCAAGTCGTTTCCTCGATACTAAACATGCTGAATTAGTTGGCTTTCTTTTCTTATTTTAGTTTAACTCTTCCTATTCTTAATGGTCGTGTTTGTTTTTCTTTCTACCACATAAAAGTTAAACGAAACAACATAAACTTCCAGTATTGCATAATTATAGAAGCAAAATATTGGACCATCCGGCAATAGCACCCCGCAGCAGGGTATGTCAATTCTCTCTACCTTGATGACATCAAAACAGATATCAAGTCGTATTCATGTTAAACTCTGTCATTTAGGAAAAGGTAGGCATTCTAATGTGACAAAACCAAATTGTATTTGTCACAACCTCGACTTTAAATCCAAAAGAAAAATATTTGCTGAGAACTTTTTCTGCTGGTGACAAACAAGATAATGGAAATACCCATATTTGCAATTTCAACAGTATCAGATCAGACCATTCTTTTGCCTTCCCAAGTGGTTTTAGTGACCCTAAAGAAGGTATCAACTAATTAACACCTATATCAAGATAAAGCAAAACCAATCTCACACAAGTACGTAAATAAACGTTTAAGGAGGATCAATTGAAGGTCTACCTGGCTGACGTGAATGCAGTAATCAAACTTCATCATAGAAATCAGAAATCAACTAGTACCTAGGAAATACGGAGAAACATCAATTAACAACATAACACCAACAAAACCGAAAATTTTACACAATTTATGTTACTTTCAGGGAAAATATAAAATAGAACTAATGGATTAAGAGAATAACATTCCTGGAAATAAACCTTGTCCTCGTTTAATTAGATGCATAAGCAAGAAATTTGATAAAAATTAATGAAAAGCTTCAAATCTTTTTCGCTCTTGTTCAAAGATCATCAAAACTGAGAAACAATCATGCTCTAAGGTATAATGCTTGTGATATTGGGATTTCATGCCATTGTAAAGACACTTCTTATGTATTAAAGCCAAAATTTAGATTCCTAAAACTTCCTTTTATGAGACCAATTTGAATGAATTGGAGAGTTTGGCTGCATTTTATCATTTTAGGATTGCATCTGTCCTCATTATCTTGAGTACATGGCAGGCAGCAGAAATTCCATAACTTGTTTCCAAAAACTGATAGGTGGTTTCCCCTCCTCTTCACTAGAGCGGAAATTTTTGTTGGATTCAACATTGCAGTCAGCATAACACTCAGCATCCACATAAAAACATGTACACCACATTTCTCCACCTTGATATTGTGATCTACACGCCTTCCATCATCTTTAGCTGTGATGTAGAATTCAAAACGAGGCCTCCTCACAGTGCTTGTCTTTTTGAAACATATTCTTGTCCAAACCAAATGATCATGTTATTGGAACCTCAAAAGAATATGGGCTTATCATAATACATAGGTTGAACGTCCATCTACTTCTAAAAATTATGACAATCACCGCATTTGGTTTTTAGCTGAATTTCGCAAACAATTCGAACACCATGTCTTCGTAATTGATCTAGAAATCAACCACAACAGATGGAACAAAACACAAGAATCTCTCACTTTGCCAATCTGGACACAGCTTGATAGTTATTGAAGAATCCATGCTTCGGTACTCAAATCTTTCTGAAATTTCACTACAGGCAACAACTCTATCAAGAATATGATCGGGTACTATTTCATGAAATCCCCTCGACCTTTCTTTCACCCATTCCTCTACCATGCGCCGGAGTCTAAGATGTGCATTGGCCACTATTTTGTCAACTACACCTTGATCCAAATCAAAGCAATTACTGAATAACATATGTACTAGGCAAGAATTCTCCCAAAACCGTCTTCTGCCCAACACCAGTTCTAATGAAGTACAGTCATGTGCATTTAGGTTTCGTAGACGTGGTGGAAGCTCAGGCAATATTATAAGGTTCTTGCAACATTTTAAGTAAAAGAGAAATTAGATTGGGAAGTTGTTGCATGCTTATGGGAGTTTTCACTATATTTGACCCACTCAGATCTAGAGTCGTCAAAACATCAAATTTGCTAAAGCTACCGCTAAGGATGACACCCAGAAGATTCAAGTTTCTACTGTACCTCACACGAATTATGTGGTCATTCAAGATGGGTGTGACTTTTATACTTAATCTTTTCGAACAAGCAAGCTTTGTTAGACATTGCATAGTCTCCACGATTGCTGGGAAAGTATCTAAATTTGAACAGCCTAGGCGACAAAGTTGTCGAAGACATTTCAGCTTGCAAATACATGTTGGAAAGCTTTTAATCCTTGTACAGTCATTCACACTCAACATGGACAGGCTTTCAAGCCTAACAATTGATGAGGGCACTTCTTCTATTGCTGTGTCGTCCGGTAATAAGATTTCTTTGTTGCTCCAAACATTTGGAAACTGGGTGATGTTTGGGCAATGACGGAGATGGATTGCTTTTAGGAAATCCATATTTACATGGATGATTTTCAATTCTTGTGCCACTCATATCTAAAAAAACAAATTCTCTGAGACAACCGATTGATGAAGGCACCTCTTCGATTTGAATATTGCTCAAAATTAAGTCTTTTATGTTCTCTGAAACATTTGGAAAACGAGTGATGTTTGGGCAATGAGAGAGACAGATTTTTCTAAAAGGGAATTCATCTTAACAACAGTACTAGGAAGATTTTTAATTCGTGTATAGCTCATTGGTAAAGAAGCAAGTTCTCTGAGACACTCAATTGATGAAGGCACTTCTTCTATTTCAGTCCCACTCAAGTTTAATGTCTTTAAGGTTCTAGGAATTCTGGAAATATTGTGATTGGGCAGTCACTAAGACAGAGATTTCAAGAAATTTCAAATGAACAATGCATGGAAGCTCAACCAAGCTTATGCACCCACCAACCTCCAATTCTTCAATGTTTATGGATCTTGACAGATCTGGGATCTTTGTTAAATTCTTGTAATTTCGGAGGTCAATCACTCTTAAATTCACAAGATTCTGTAGGATGAAAATAAAAAACTAACTACATTAATTTCAAGTCTGTAATTAAATTTAGAGTTTTATTCAAAATGGGAAAAAAAAAAAAAAGGAAACGAAATATGTTTTCTTTTTGGATGAGCACATTATTAAAGTATATATGCCTGATCTTTAGGCCAAAGTTAGTTAATATTCGGTAATCTTAATTCCACAAGCTTCTCTGGACTAAAATTTGATGGCAAAGATTTCAATGGGCAATACTCCTACTGAAAATAACTGAGCTCACCTGGAAGAGATTTAAGATCCTGCTGTGAAAGCAGTGATTTACCTTAAAAATAGATTCGGGGAAGACACAGAAGAACTTAAAAATAGTTAAAATTCATGATGAACCGTAATGAGTAAGACCAAGAAAGGACAGGTTTGTCGAGAACTCGTAGTGCCTTGAAGTCTCAGTTCAAGTACAGGCATAAAGCAAAGAATCTCAAAGAAAAATTGAAGCTCTGTAAAGGCCTGGTCATCCCTCCTATTACTGCAAAAACTTGAATTTCATCCTGGTTTCATTTTGAGTAGAAGGGTCACCATGGTCTTTTCCAATAATCAGCTATCTCATTCAATCATTGATTCACCAACATCGGGAAAATGGCATCCTCATTGTCCTTGCTTCTAATTTCTAAATGGCTGCTCCTTTTCCGACCTCATCGGGGCTAAAACTTCCATTGCAGTCATTATATACTGATGTTCACGATTGTCTTTCTCAGTGCAAGCATCTTTGAAAAAAAGCAATGACGAACTCAGCTTCAAGGTGAGCCTAGTCGAATCGCGAGGAAAGCTGGGCTGGATCTTGTTAGGATTGCATTTGATCTCTTTACCTCTGCTTTAGCTGCATAGCAAGATGCAATAAAACAACATCGTTATTATCTTTAATTGAAAAATGCTCATTCAGTGTTGGTCGAAAATGGGCACCAATGCAAGTGAAACCATTAACTAATGTAATGACAATCTGCTTAAACAATTTCTAGTCAACATAGTTGTAGTTGTTAAAATAAAAATACTAGTAATTCAATATGCAGAATCACTTGCAATGAAAATTCTGACATCAGATGCTAGTTAGCCATCTGAGTTTGATTAGGTTCTCGTAACAATTTATACTCGCAAAATGCTAATTATCAATTTAATAATTATATAACTACTATTCTTAGAAAATGAAGATGCTGTAACAAAGGCTGGTAATTTCCTAAGTGGAGTCAGCATAAGAAGTACTAAATCTCTATGCCATCAGATCACATTATTTTAAACGTAGCTAGTTAAGAATGTAGTAAGTACTCAAGCTCTCATTGTTTGATTTATAAATATCCATTGCAATAATGAGAGTTTACCTCAAAGCAAAAATAATATATCTTAATTTCCGCCCAACTAGGGCAATCCTCAAGAGTTTTCAATAAAAAAAAAAAGACAATTAAGCATAAAAAAGGTTAAATATTAAAACTATAAATCGAAAGAAAAATGTTGAAAGATGTCCCTTCAACACTTACAGCACCACCCACCATTACCTCTTTCCAAGTATTAAGAATCTATATGCAGCTTGAGCTTGACCATATCTCCAAAACAAGCAGGATGTAACCTCCTCCTGTAATGATACCAAAATAGAAAGTGATTGACTTTCCTATTGCAAATACCCAAATAAAATGAAGAATAATGTTTTGTCAAAGAAGTAGAGAAATTTTAGCCCAAAGATGTGATATAAGAAATAAATTACAGCTGAATTCTATCTCAGAATGATAATATGGCCAAACACATAATATTGGGTTCATTTGAATTTTTAACATTGCCCGTTGAGTCTGTGTCTTTTCCCTGCTTTACTTGGACCAACGGGTAATTTTGCATCTTCTTTCCGATAAACAGTGCCAAGTACTTGCAAATCAGACTTTACAATTGTATTGCAAACAACATTATTTGACAACTTTTAGAAAAGTTTGTCATTGCTAATCAAACATATATTGAAATGAAACTGAGAAGACCAATTTCAGATGATTTAACATAGAAATTTACTGAGTTTATCTAATAAGATGCCTAAAATCTTCCATATAACAACCCAGAAGTACATAGAATAATCTTTCATTAATAACTACAAAAGCTAAACTAAGGTTTTGTACCATTTTCTACGCCATGAAGCAGATGAAAATCTTTTTGGCTTTCAGTATGTCATTCATATTCAAAGATAGCAAGGAAACTAAAATGGCTTCGGTTCGATTTCATCATAGAACCATTATTTAGTAACTTAATATACAAAGAACAGTTGTATTAAAATGTAAATAGTAACAAGTAAAATTTTGGCTGGTACCTTAAATTGCTTCTTTTGGAGCTTTGGCATTGCCTTAGGACTCTGTTTTATCCTCTGCCTTGGAACTGTGCTTTGCGATCCTTTGCTTCAACCAATCATTTGCATCTTCATTCAATTAATAGAAGTAAATTTAGAAAGTCAAGGCTAATCTCATAGTAGTAACCATTTTTTTCAAAATTATTCACAACTTTACAAGCACTAAACCTTCCAAGACAAGAATCATTCCTTCTTAAAATTCATAAATAATTTCTCTAAGCAACTAGAGGAAATGCTCAATCGAATTCAGAACTTGCACAGGTTTTCAGCTACAAAAGGTTTAACCTGGAAATTTAACTATCAGTAATTGATATGCTCACAATTGATCCTTGACTTACATCATTAATTTCATTTCCTCTACTTTTCTTTTACATATATATATATATATATATAATTGACCCTATAAGTTCCCTGACAGAATGGAGAAACATTGTAGATGGAAAAGAAGATAATTAGCTGCTCTCCTCATTACTAAACATGCTCAAATAGTTTCCTTGAGTTTTTTTCTACAGAGGGGTAGTTTAAAATCTTTATTTCTTTATAGGGATAGTTTTAAATTTTTACATAAACGGGGTACTTCATGCCATGTCAATGCCAAGTCAGATTTTTTAAATAATCATTTATATTTTTTAAAAATATTTTAAAAAATTGAAACACCTAAACACTACCATTACTTTGTTTACTAAACGCTATTTTCTACTGGCCTCTGAAGCATAGTGAAGCAGAGTAGGAACAGGGCTTCCAATTCAACAAGAGATTTCATCATGAGATTATGAAATGCTAGGGATATTTATCCTTTCATTAGGATAAAAAGGGAAGGTGGCATTTTAATTTGCTGATCTTACATGCCTTTAATAATATTCCTATGTTCTCTAACTCACTGCACATATTTTCTGCTGTACATTATAACACTATAAATAGCATAAATATTTATAAGTAAAAGTTTTAAGACTAGTACTTAATAATATAAACGGAACCCTTCCTCTCCACTCATAAGTCATTTGAGCTATGCAAGTTACAAAAACAGCTGTTATATTAGAAGAGAAATTATCCTTAGTAATCAAAAGAAAAATATAAATGCATGCAACAACAAGGCCACCGAGAAGAAACTAGGAAAACATTTATCACGATGCAATATATCTGTATTCCATGAAATTTGTTTGATGTGCTTCATAATGACAATAGGATTGCATGGAAAAATAGACAGAATAAAAGATACTTACAATTGAAGAACTGAATAACGATGCTGCATACATCTGTAGCAGAATCATTTTATTTTTTGAGCCGGGCAAATAGCTCATCAGCTTTGGTATGCAGGTCCTTGCCCTTTGAATCATCACTGCCCCTGAAAATCCTCTTTACACAGTCAAGCTCCTTTGTTAGTGTTTCCGGACCCCCAGTCCTTTGCACAGCATAAAAACACATCCTTAATAAACCCGAGTGTTGCTGAAGCATGACCACATCCCATGAAGTGAAATTGCATTCCTGTCGTACCAGATGGCCCCTTTAGCTATGACTTGGCTTGACAAGATTCCTCTGCATACCACAAGCGGCATAGTACCAATAGGAACAACCAACCCAACTGCTAGTATTGTTAGCACAATTAAAATTCAGTGCATTTTCCATATTTAATTAAACCAACTACATTAGAATTAGTTTCAGTCTGCATTTGCCATATCCAAATAAACCTAGTCCAAACAGTTGGCCACCTTCAACAAGGCATCAAATTAATGTGCTTACACAATCAAGTAATGCGTGGCCTTAAAAGTAGCCCAAACCGTAGAATTCACTTAGCATCCTAACTAGAGATGGTAGCAGCTCATTAATGCCAGTGAATAGCAAAATTATTCCTTAAATTCTGAATGCAGACCTTAAATTGTGGGTAAAATTATTAGATTATCTGCTCTCTTTTACCTTTTGGAATTTGAAATGACAACTTTCTATTATGTATTGCAAGCAGGAAAATATGAAAGATAGCACATTTGCCCTAAATAGCCAAAGTCTTCAAAAACTAACCTTCCACCAAAAAGCTTCGCTAGCAAACCCCTGGCAATTGAATCAAGCATGTCCCCAAAAGAATGGTGGTTGCACTAATCCATTTACTGATGAATTCCACCCAAACTGATGTGACATAGGAATTATAGCAACACTCAAGTTCACCGACCCCATTTAACAAGCTTAACAAAATTAGTTCAACCTAAATATAAAACCCAAGTCCACACAAGTGATTGCTGTTTCTACTACATGAACCCAAAAATCTATAATTCAAAACTATAAACCCCAAAAACTATAATTGAAAACTATGATGGAATTAAGCATATAGATGAAGAGTTTGGGAATTTAATTTCAAGACAATAACAAATCCCCAAAAGAAAAAGAGAGATAAAGCACATAAATGAAGAACCCACCTAAACTTTTCCCTTTCATACTTGCCACTGGTATTTGATTGAAGGAGAGTTAAAGCATCGAAGCAGAGAAAGTGTAATCACTTGTATTTTGTATGTAAAAGGAAAACAAAAAAAAAAAATGACAGCATGAATATCCCATTTAGGTAAATAAGTTTCAAACTTTCCTTAAAGATGTTAAAATAACCTTCTATTGGAAAAAAAAATTCTAGTTTCCTTTTTTTTTGTTTCCTTTTTGTTTTTATTTTCCCCAATTCTCAATAATGGTGCAGGTGTGATCTACTTTTTCTACTGTGAGATGACAACGACAAAGTTCTGACTATCAGATGATATAAACTTGCAACATCACTGATGTAGCTTTAAGAAAGCATTGAAATTGATTACGATTCAAGACCGCAAGATAGTTAAAGATTTCATGTTATGCTTCATATAATTTTTCTGAAAAGAAAAAGGTGAACTTGCACTTTCGACTAGTTATAGAAGCTCATTTACCTTGATGATCTGCAACTGCAGAGGCAGCAGCAATAGCATGTAGCAAGTAGCAAAGGGATGCAAATCTCTAGCTTCATAACATCATATTGAAGTCAAACTCTGTAATTGAGCTTGAAAAGGTAGCACGTAATTAATTTGAGGGAAAAAAATTACATTTGTCACAACCTAGACTTGAAAACCCAATATTTCTCTGAAAATCCTTTCTATTGGTGACAAAGAGACACTTGAAACATTCATAATCTGCAGGTTCAAAAATGTCACATCAAGTTAAGGCTGAATTTTCATGAAAGTTCCCGAAAATGCGCAAAATACAGTCGTAATTCTAAAATGCATAATGAACATAGGAAAAAATAGAACCTTTTATGGGAGAGGGGACCTTGCTTTCACATTCCAACTGCTCCTAGGTATCCTAAGAAAAGCATCAACTGAAACCTAGATCAAGAAAATGCACAGGTTATAAACAAAAGCAATTTCGCACACAAGTGGTTCAGATAAATATTTTGGGAAGGTGCATGCAAATTAGAAATCAACTACTATCTGAAAAGAAAATTAGGTAATAATAAAACAAAACACCAACTAAAACACCACAATATTTGCATACTTTACTTTAAGAGCCAAAACGAAATTTTTAAAAAAATTGAAAAGTAGGGAAATTTCAGAAAAGAAAAACAAAATTATCTCTCAATCAGAGGAGAAAAATACAATAGTTAGTTGAGAAAATGAAAGGAGAAAATAGAATGATGAGAGAGTGGTCGGAAACAAAATGTGAAAGAAAAGCATGAAGGAAAATTTGAAAGATTCAAAGTTGAAAGCATTTCGTATTCTTTTTTTTTTTTTTTTCTAAATTACCAAGATTTAAAAGTGATGACAAATTGAATCTCAGGATGACTTACCAAAAGCTTTGGAACTGAATTGCCTGGGCTTTAAATAATATCAGAAATTTGCGAACTTGCACCTCCTCAAAAGAAACGAAACTATTTCAGTCTTTTAGGCTCTGGTTCTTCCACTTCATCAGAGCTAAAACATCGTCTGTGCCTAGGTCTCATCGTAGTCGTAGGATCATCAAGGCCTTCCTCATCATAGCTCTGTAATTTGTGCTGGACGCAACCTCTTTGTCATTGGATCTTGACAGCATCCTCATATAATACATTGACACCACATTTTTGCACTATGATATGCTCAACATTGGAATCAAAATCCCAAGCTGTAACGTAGAATTCAATGGAGGCCTCATCAAAATGGTTGTTTATGGATTCATTGATCTCCCTTCCAAAACCACTACCAAAAAGGATCACATGATTCGAATCAAAGCTTTGACAGAAAGGGACATTCCAATTCCAATGATGAGTAAGTTCGAGAGGATCACGGTCAAGGCGGTCAAGGCGCTCGGTTGTTAATAGATATTGGCAACTACCGCCGCAGACTTTGAATTTATGAGGGCCCTTAAAATTAACCACAATGCATAGAAGAAAGCCCAAAAATCTTTTACTAGAACAAGCTGGACCCAACTTGACAGTTATTGAAGAATTTTTACTCCGATTCTTGAATGTCTTTGGAATTTTACTTCCAGGGAAACAAGAAAGGAAACCATTACTATAACGAAAAATTATAGCAGCAACTTCAGAAGATTTGATCGCAAACACCTGTGCCGTACATTGAGCTATAAGCTGTGCATTAGCCACAATGTTGTTGACTGCATCCCCGTCCAGATTGAAGCAATTATTGAATACAAATTCACTGTTGCCAAATTGATGAGATAATAAAAATGTCCCAGCTTCCATAAAATGCGCATGTTCCCACTGGGGAACTCTCTTTAAAGATCTGCAGTTTCCTGCTACTAAACTATGTAAACATGGTGGAAGTTCTGGCAATGATTCGAGGTTCCCACAATTAGATAAATATAGATACTGTAAATTAGAAAGTTGTTTGATACTCTTAGGAATTTCCACTATATCTGATCCAGATAGATCCAATCCTTCCAAAGGGACAAACCGAAATATAGTCGAGGATAACTCTGTTATGGCTGTTTCCCTTAAACCAAGATATTTTAGACGCTTAGTCTCTAATATTTCTGGGAAACACTCTAAGTTTGAACAGCCACCGAGATCTAGTGATACAAGAGATTTTAACTTACAAATGCTGGTTGGAAGGCTTTTAAGCCTTGTGCAGCCATACATGCTGAAATAAGCAAGGTTTTTAAGCCTTGAGATTGATGAAGGCACTTCTTTTATTGGAGTGTAACCCAAAAATAAGTGTTCTATGTTCTCCGGAACAATCGGAAAATTTGTGATGTTTGGGCAACTTTCGAGAAAGATTTTTCTAAGGGCATGCAACTGAATAGTGGCGCTTGGAAGATTATGAATTCGGCCACCACTCATATTCAAACGAACAAGTTGATGGAGAAACCCGATTGACTCCGGAATTTCTTCTATTGCAGTGCATGTTAAAGTCAACTCTTCGATATGCTGTGGAGCTCAGGAAATTTCTTCAAATTTTTTAAACCATAACCGAGTAGCTAAAGCAAAGAGATTTCGAATGAACCATGGATAGGAGTTCAACCAAGCTTTAGCATCCATTAATTTCCAGTCGTTCAATATTTTTGAATGCAGACAAACTTCGAATCCTGGTTAAATTCTTGCAAAACGAAAGACTAAGCACTTTTAAATTCTCAAGATTCTGTGCAATGAAAGCGAAGAAACAATATGAGGTTAGTTTAAACTTTAAAGCCTCTAAACTTGTAGGGTACTACAAAAATAAAAATTAAAAACAATAAATATTATTTTTTTATGAAAATAAAATGTTAAAGAATACCTGGTCTCCATTCCAAAGTTGTTCAACATTGCTACCACGCAATCTTAATTCAACAAGATTCTTCGGACTAAAATTTGACGGTATAGATTTCAGCATGCAATTCTCCCAATGAAAATACCTTAACTCATCAGGAAGAGATTCAAGACCCTGGTCTGAAGGAACCAACATACCACTCTCCCTAGATAAAGTAGGATTATAGAATTTGATAATTCTAAGATTAGGCATCCTTGCGAAAGTATGTGGATGTAACTGTACTTCATTAATTTGAGACAGGTTTAATAATATTCCCTCCACTGATTTCGTCCCCTATAATCAACAGCAAACAATAATTTACCGTAATGCATCAAACATTTATCAAGTCAAGATGAGCAAAAAAAAAAAGAAAAGTTAGTTCAGTTAGCTCTTACCTTGTCATTCTCTAACAGTTTACGAACATCAATTGGAGTCCATAATCTACTGCGTTCTTCTGGCCATTGAGATTCTGAACGGATAATTTTTCTACCCATCTCTTGTAGCAAATCATGCATGCCAAGCTTGTTCTTTTTAACATCTAAGAGGCATTTATCAACAAGGTTGGTAATTCCACAATAAGCAGTCTCATCATAGGAACCGTCTAGTATTTTTGTTACACTATCTCTACCATACCCTTTAAAGAAAATTGCGATATCAAGAAATATCTTTTTCTCTACATCTTCCAGCCCATCAAAGCTAATCTTCAGCACATCGTGAATTTTCGGATTGGAATGTTGCTTTAATTTATTCAATGCACTTGCCCAATATGCCATGTCCTTATTACAAACTGTAGAACCCAAGACTTTAAGAGCTAGTGGAACGCCTTTAGAATATTCCAAAAACTTATTTGATAGATCCTTCAAATCATCAAAAAGGTGGTCTTGCTTGAAGGCATACATAGAAAAGAGCCGAATAGAGTCATTGTGACTTAATTCCTTAACCTCATATATTCCATCAACTGATCCATTTGTAAGGACTTGTTTGTCTCTGGATGTTATAATGATTCTACTACCAAAACCAAAGTGGTCGTGGCTAATTTCTAAGTTTTCTAATTGGTCCCAATCATTGACATCATCAAGGACAACAAGAACTCTCTTACGACGGAGTCTATCCTTAATGAAAAAGGGCATTCTAGGAGTACCGATATGGAGGCCGTGCTGGTTCAATAATTGGGAAAGAAGTTGATCCCGCATAGTGATTGCATTTGCACAATATTTTCCAATCGTCTCTCTAACATCTGCCAAGAAGTAACAACTTTCAAATTGACCACAGACTTCATCATATATAGCTTGAGCAAGAGTTGTTTTGCCTATACCAGGCATTCCCCATATCCCAATAATACGAACATCCTCCCCTCCAAAGCAAACAGTGATTTGATTTGCTCCATATGAGGAACTATTCCTAGGAGATCTTTGTAATCACCTTTAGACAACGGTTTCAACTTGTCCACAATATCTTGAACAATATCCTCAATGACTGAGGGCTCAGGCCTATCGAATAAGCAAAAATAAAGAAACGAGTTAAGCCTAAGGTAATGAAGATTATATGAACAAAACTTACGCTTCTTAAGGGAAATTTTTTAAAACAAAAAAATTCAAAAGAAAATTAACCAATTTAGTGCAAGAAGCTTAGAGCAAGAAAAACAAACACTTAACTTATCTCCTGCAATGGACCACCCACTTAAGCCGGCAGCTTTAGTCAAAGCGAGTCTCCACCCCTTAACCTTGTCTATCCTGTTTCTTTCATGGTCAACAAAAGCTTCTTCAAAACTCCCTTTTAGTTTTCGTACATCGGATGGGTTAACATGGTAGAAAATGGGTACCACAAGTTGTCCTCGTGAATCCCTGCATTCCATTATCTTGGAGAGTTCATCCAAGCACCATGATGAAGTAGCATACTTCTGAGAAAAAACTATTACGGAAATCATTGATTTTTCGATTGCTTCCAACAGTGCGGAAGAAATTTCCTCTCCCCTCGGAAGTTCTTTGAAATCAGCATAAGCTCCAATCCCTTTTCCTTTCAAAGCTTCATACAGGTGACTGAGGAAGGTATTGCGTGTGTCTTCACCTCTAAAACTCAGGAAAACATGATGCTTTGCTTGAGTTAAGAAAGCAGAAGCAGAGGAAGAGAAAGCCATAACAGAGAACAAGAAGGTTTTGTGATGTTGCGTCTGTAACGCAGTAGGAAAAAGAAGTGAATAATGAACGCAACTAAAAAAGACTCCAAGGCGAAAAAGAAAGAGAAGCAACGCGGAACCATCATCCGGCAAAGGAGTCGAGCAAAGGGAGAATTACAGATTGATGCAATGCAATGAGAATATTGAATAATTGTGAACACATCAGTTAAAGTAAAGCAGTTATTAATAAGTAATTGCTTCAATCGATCAATATCATCATTTTTTAATGAAATAATTTTGTGTTCAAATTTTATCGATAATTAAAAATATAAATAATATATTAATACTCGTAAGTTATTTAAGTTCAATTAAAATAAAATTCGAATAATTAAATCAAGTTTGAGTTCAAATAATTTGATTCAATTAATCGATCGAGTCAAATTTAAATATTTTTATATTAGATTCAATATGCTCACAAACTTAATCGAGGTTTTTATATTTAAATATTTTTTTATTATTTTAATTAATAAAATATCTCGAATTCAAATTCGAACTCAAACATAAATAATTAAACTTTTATCGAATATAAAAATCGAACTTATTTTTACATGTTAATCAAGCTTAATCGAACAAATTTGAGTAGCTTGATTTTTATCTCAAATTGAGTTTGAACTAAAAAATAAAACTCGATCAAGTTTGAATCGAACATCGAACATCGAACCTTGAATTTTGAATTAAATTTGAGTTCAAACTTAATACTATATCGATTCAAATTCAATTAATTATATTTTTATCGATAATTATTTATTAAAATCATTTTAAATATATAATTTATAATTATTTATTTTAAATTATTAGATGTGATATATTTTACTATAACACAAAAAATTAAATAATTTATTTACTTTTGAATTTTTGTTAAAAAAAAGAGAAAAAGCATTTCCCTTTTATCAATTTTATAAGTCTGTTCCCTTTTCAATAAATTTTTTTATGTACGACAGTAAGCGAATATTCTTGGTCCACCGCAAGCAACGAGGAATGGTACATTAAAAGAGTAAAGCAAATTGAAAAATGTCTTTGGATTCCTTTTGGTGGGGTACGGAGTGACAGAAGAAAGACAAAGCAACGCGGAATTGTACGCTAAAAGAGTAAAGCAGCAAATTGTAAAATTATCATTGGATTTCGTTTGGTAGGGTACAAATGTAATATGTTAAAAATTCAATTAATCTTAAAACTTTAAAATTGCTTATATTGAGATATTAGTTATAAGTTATGAGTATAAATCATTAAAGTTATCAGGGGATAGTTTTTTTCTTAAAACCACAGATTTTTTTGTATAAATCAATGTTTTTAAATTCACAAAGTTAAGGATTAGTTTTTAAAGTATATCTATAAAAGTTAATAAATTATTAAATTATTTCACTTGTGAGATTTAAATACTCCATCATTAGTATAAAATTAATAATCTATTAATTATTTTATTTTTATTTTATTTTATAAAGAGACATGAAAAAATTAAAATAAAAAACCTTAATTTAAAAAGGTATGTTGTTTATATTCTACAAAACATTTTGTAGTTAAAATAAAAGTTATTATTGTCAAAGTGACATGTGCGTGCGAAGTGAGGTATATGGCTCATTATTTTTTAAAAAAAATTATTTTATAACACATTTTATTTTTTATAAATTAATTTTTTTCATTTATACTAAAAAATATATATTATAATTATAATTTTATTTGTTAAATTAAAAAAATCTCATACCAATATATTTAATAATTTTTTTATTTTAATCTCTCATTAAAAAAATAAAAATCTCACTTATCATATGTCTCGAATCTATAAATAATTATTTTGTATTACGGGAAGAACTAATAAATAATAATCCATCATGTCCTAAATTTATGCAATTAAAAATACCTATAGTATCCATTTAAAGTGATTGTTATAAATTAAAAAACTTTAAAAATTTTTATTTCAATTGAAAGGTTATGACTCAAGCTATACTTTCTTTTTTTTGCTATTTAATTTCTGTTTTTTTTTTTTTTTTGTAAATATTTCAGTCAATATATGTTATAAAAGAGACGTGTAAAAATTAAAATTAAAAAACCAATTTAAAAAAATATGTTACCTATATTGCACAAAACATTTTGTGATTAAAATAATGGTTATTATTATTAAGAATGATAGGTGCATGCGATAGGAGGTATCAAGGCTCATTATTTTTAGAAGAAATTATTTGATATAATAATAATGAAATTTTTTTTAATTTTAATGGATTAAGATGGTAATATATTTTTTATTTTTAAAAATTTTTAAATATATATTAAAAAAACATATATTTTAATTTTATTCATAAAATTAAAAAATTTTATCATTAATATATTTAATAATTTATCTATTTTTAATCTCCTGTTAAAAAAGAAAAAATAAAAATAGTTTCCCTTTTGTCAATTTTATAACTTTCTATTTCTTGCTTCAATAAATATTTTTATGTATGTAGGATATTCTCAATATTGTTGGCCAACTTTATCAATTTGTAATTACCCCAAAGCAAATTAAAAACTGTCTTCCGTTAGTTTGGTAGGTACAAAGTGACAAAAGAAAGAAACAACGCGGAATCATACAACAAACGAGTAAACCAAAATGTCTTTGGATTCCATTTGGTGGGGTACAATGTGACAAATCGTCAAAAAGAACGACGAGCAACGCGGAATCCTACAATAAAGGAGTAAACCAAATTGTAAAATGTCTTTGAATTCTGTACGGTGGGGGGCCAATTTACTTTGTCGAAAATTCTACAAAGTGAACACCAATGTTTTTACATTACCAGTTAGATTCATACTACTTGAAAGGACGAAATAATTTGTTTTTTTTTTTTATTTATTTTGAGGTTTGAGTAAGGTAAAAAAAAAAAAGAGAAGTGAATTATGTGTGCGAGTTTCAATCTTGTCATTCACGAGCCCTGTGGTCGCTTTGTGGTTCTTTTTTATTTTATTTTTTTCAACTTTATTCAGTTTTTAAGCCTTTCAGCCACAACTTTATTCTTTCCCCTCTTCTTTTTCCATTTGTAAATATGAGTATCTCAAATTCACCCTTCAATTTTTATTTTAAGATATAGAATATTTGTCCACTAAATTATTGTAGGAAAGGCTATGCGCATAATTTTTTTTTATATTTTATAGATATCCGTTCTGTATGCATACTCATAAAATATTATAAATTCATACTTTTTTGTATTTAATGAACATAGAAAATCTTATTTTAAAAAAAGTAAAAAAAAATATAAATTTGTTTTTTAGCTTTTTTATATTTTTCTGTAATTTTTTATAAACATATTTTAAAATGAAAATTATTAAATAACATGATGATTTAAAACTTATAAATATGTATTTTTAAATGAAAATATATTAGATCTAATAGATTCCGAGATAATTTAGAACCTAGAATTCACCAAAGGCAAAAAGCAAGATGCAGGATATGAAAATCAGTTGAGATCTAACATACCACAAAAAAAAACAAACATAAAATAAAATAAAAAGAAAGGACGTAAAATATTCCAAAATGTAGATCATTATATTTAAACAAATAGTGTTTCTTGTTAAAGGACTAATAATAAACAAGCGTTCCCTGTATATAAATACAAAAACAAAGAAGCCATGAGAAATTGCATATGTGATTAATGTATGATGATCAGCACGTTTTTGAAGATATGAAGTAAAATCATCCCAATAAACTAAAATATGGTGACCATCGATTAGATTTCCTTGGAATAAACTAAAGAAGTTCGCTTCCATGATTAAGAAGGGTTGTTTGTGGTGAAAGGCAAAAAGAAACTCATGCTTTTTGTGCACGCGGCTGGCAGAAGAGGGAGAAATCGAGATGGTTTATCATGACAGGGAGTTCAACTACAAATTACAAAATCCAAATTTTCTATCGGACAATGGTTGATCCATGAACACAGATAAGTTCTGCTACAATGCAACTCCGACTCCCTTGAAAGACAATGCAAACACATTAGATCTTTCTATACATTAAAGTAAGAAACAGCTTTATGCTAGTTTCCCATCTCAATTTTTTTTCTTCTTTTCTTTTATACGGACGGGCACATCTATTTCTGTTCATTGGTACACAATCTCTTTAGAAAGAATTCCAACCAATGAGTGAAGATTCTTCCGATTCAAGTCAATCCGCCACACAGAATCCCAAAAGCAGAGGTGCCTACTTATGCCAACGGCATAAGCTGAATATTGTCAATTGTCAGTATCTTCAAGGCCATGGCTGGCACAATGAGATATGAAAGCTATTGTGACAAGTCTGCTCTAGTTTGCACCAGCAACCCAACGGTTATAGGACAACCATGTGAGTCAGTACCCGTATCGATCATTCAATGTAGTTCTCCCATCACCAGATTGCCCTGCAAGGAACATGAAAAACTTGTAATAAAATCAGCGATAGTCCAATGAATGGAACCAAGTTGAAATCCATTCAGCAGTACCCATTACAGATGCCACACTTATACCCAAATTTCAGGTTCAGATGACACTAAGCAATAATTAAAGGGAGTACCTTCAGGAGGAACCCATGATTCATATTCTGGATCTGGATTGCTATTAAGAAATGAAGGCTTCTCAGGACCAAGCACCCGTTTTTGCTTTGTCTCTTTCTTAGATTGATTTCTGGCCAACATTTCAGGGGTTTCACACAATTCCTCGTCCTCTGCATGGTACCCTCTAGTGTGCTTCAGTAACAGTGCCACTGCATTCTGTGCGATTTCTTCAGCTCCTGTAGAGGATAATGTAGATTGCTCAGAGGCTTTGTCATCACTTTCAGGGTTCTGAATCTGTTTCTGTTTCCTTATAATCAGACCAGAGGCAGTAGTTTCAATTCCTGAGTGCCCTTTAACCTGTGGATCATCAACACTCCCAAGTACTTTCTTCCTATCTTTGTAATCAACAAATTCGTCAACTTTATGTGTATCTACTTCTACTACTTGATGTGACTCTTTAATCTCCTTGTTCTCAACAGCACCAAGCCACTGGGGCTTTGCAACAGTATAGATAGCCTTTTTCCCGTCAGCTGTATCACTAATAATATTCTCTTCTGGTTTCTTGATTGATTCCATAGAGACATCTACAACTCCCTCTTTCTGCATGGAAGAATTTGCTGGTTCTGTAGATGTACTGATTTTTTTGGGTTCCTTTGGAAGCTGCTTATTGACAGCAGCAGCAGGAGGTCTTGATTTGTCAGGTCCTGGTGCTGGTGCTTGTGCCTTTGTATCCCTTTTCTTAGCAGCTTCTCCTGTTGGATCAGCAATCTTCAACAGGTAGAAGATCCAGTCCAACTCCGACTGAAGGGCAGACATTTCCTTCTCAAGTTGCACTGTCCGATCAAGCACTGACAAAGAAAGATAGGAAATCAGCCACTTTTGCTACTTGCATCTCAGAATTTACTTTTTTCATTTTTAGATTGTGAGAAAGTAAACACAAATAGAAAAAAAGATGACCATATTTAAAAATGAGAAAATAGCTTAAATGTAATAAATATCCACACACAATGGCTACATAGCATAGAGAAATAAATTCTTCATTTTTATCATCCATAAAACTCAAATGCTTATTTATTAATTATTGAAAAATATTTTTGCTTTTGTAAGCTAGGCTACTTTTTGTGTTTTACGTTCAAAGAAAAAAGTATGTAGCAAAAGGTTTAAAAGAACCAAGGAAAAAGAAATGAAAGAAATTTAGGAATATATAAAAAAGCTAATGTTCACAAACAACTGGGAAGAAACTTGAAGAAAAACCAGAATAACAATGATATAGCAAAACAAGTAGTCTATGATTTGGAAATCAACAATGAGTTAACTGTTTGTGACATCAGCACTCTGCATCTTTGATGTGCAGAACTTTTAGGAATATTTTTTTTTAATGTAAAAATGTCTCACCTAGCTGGGATGAAAGCCCAGACATGTAAGCATCAAGTGCATCTCCAGCTTCACTTTCTACTGCAGTTTCTGATGCCATTTTATTCTTCTCATTCGACAGCAACTCTTTCTTGCCTTCAATTTCTTTCGTAATGGTGTCTTTCTTATCAAGAAGACTATCAGCAGTTTCAATAGACTGGGTTTCACCAACTTTTTGCATGGTAGGTTTCTTCTTTGTCCGGTCATAGAATTCATCATCATCACTGAAGAATCACAAATCATTATAAACATTAACTATTAATCTAGTTTCATAAGGCAACTAAAAATAAACCAGATGCATAACCATATCATATACTTAAGGAAGAGAAAACCTTAAAGAAAATGCTTAGAAAATTGAGAAAAGTAAATGCAATAACTGCTAATTATAAATATGTTTTAGATGAATAACTAAAGCAAATATGAATAACTAGAGTGAATAGCTAAGTATATAAAAAATTTTCCATGCATTTCAAAAATTGTGGCACCAGAGGCAAATATAAAATCTTCTTTTTATTGTTTTGCTGTATCTTAAAAGATTTCTATATCCACCAGGAATTTCTCATAAAGACAATTACCTTGAAAAGTCTTCATCATCATCCTCTGGCCCTCCCTTCCTCTTACCACGAGACATTGTTCCACCACGTGCAACCTATGCTTTCCAACGAATACTGTCATTTAGTGTCTCTTCTAAGTTTTCAAGCTCTTCCATTATCTACCAAAATTGTAAGAAATAGTGTATCAATAATTTTCTTTAAGTTCTCTTCACAATCAAGGGAGATGAGGGCCAATAAGAACCTTAAGGCCCAATATTAGAGAATCAATTCGTAACTCCAAATGGAATACATCAGACTCCTATCCACATAACTTTCAACATACCTGTGTTATTCGTTGTTCATTTCTAGCAATCTGAGTTTGCTGGCCTTGTGTCAACCCACCTTGAGCAATGTCTTTCACACGTATTGCATCTATCTCTTTCTTCATATGAGCAATCTACATCCAGAACAATGAGTTGTAAATGATAAATGACAAGCACTGAAATTGACATGGAAAGATGAGAAAATGACACCTCTAAGTCGAATAAAAAAGAACTAGAAAGAAAGTTCAGACAACTAAAAGCGAGCAGCCTAAATGAGGAAAACAAATATCATTAAATACATTTCATGAAAAGAATTCTCAAAGAGACAAGGACTTGCCTTTTCAGTCCTTTTTATTATCTTATCACGGGTTTTTTCCTGCTTCTCTGTAAGCTGTCCTTTGTAGGTTTGCCAACTCACTTCATCAGCTTCGTCCTAAATATCCCAATGACAGAAAAGAAAATTAACAAAATTATCCATTCATTCTTACATCAAAACAATATAAAATTAGGGATTGAACAGAAAAAAGTTTGATATATGAGGCCATTGTGAAAATCGTTGGCTCTAGACCCCCCCCCCCCCCCCCCCAAAAAAAAAAAAAGAGGGACAGAAAGTGATAAGACAGCTTATAATTATATCCATACATATGCGTCAATAAGATATTCAAATAAGCAATCAGCACTAATTAGCCAGTAGGGAAGAAAGTCACCAAATTCTTTATATTTATCTAATTGCTCGCTGATGGAATGATGTGGATCCTCAAAGAAGTACAACAATTGTGTCTTTGCACGCATCAAAATTTTGTGTGAAAGAGTTCAGGTCTTTTTCTTTTAAAAAACATTAATGACATAGAAAATCAACAAAAAGAAATTCCAAGAGCATAGCACAAGACATCAATCACGAAAAGAATACAAAATTACATCCTTCGCTAATTATATTAGTTTCTAAGTATTTCAATCTGATATCACTTTAAGATACAAGTTATACAAACCTCTGCTTCTTCAATAGCATCCTCTCCCATGCCCCATGAGATACCATCAGAAAGAGATGCTTCTGCCCTTGCTCGTCTAAGTGAAGCTTCTTGATCTAACAACTCTTCTCGGATCTTAGCTTCTCTGATGACTTTCAAGTCTTTTTCCTACAACACAAAAACATTAGAAAAGTAACAGCAATTTAACACAGTAAAGAAAATTGCATAAAATATAAGAAGTAAAATTTTAATGGCTGAAACAATAGAAAACTTCTGCTGTTTCTCTCTAATTCTTCTTTCAATACAACAATATAATGTAACTAAATGTTAAAGCCAAAGAGAAGGTTATGACCCAGAACATATAACTCAACAAAGTATTTCCTAATAGCATTTCCTTCAAAAGATGTCAAGTAACCAAAGTAAATAAAATAACTCAATTTTTTTTATCCTTTGAAAATGATACAACGGGATTCTTAATTGTTATTTACCGGGACTATTACTCCTACCACCAATTGCTTCGATCTTCAATCATTTTAGAAATTTAAAAAGAAAAACTATTGATTCCATAGGGAAAGGTGGCATGAAATTCATCAATGCACAGGAAGCTCAGAGGTTTAAGAAAATTTAGTAACCCACCCTAGCCACTGCTCTCTAAAGTATTCCGAAAGAGAGTTCCAGTTAAAATATATTCAGATTGTTGGATGCAGAGTCATGATGTTACATTCCCAGCAATTAAAATGTCAGATATTTATCCATGCATTTATGAATAAACTAAAATGAAAGGGTATGAAACATGATGAAGATTTTTGCCTACATGATTGCCACTGCACAGGTCTGTATATTAGTTCATAAAATGGGACGGGAACATGTGATTGAGTATGATTACTGACAAGTGAGTTTCATGAGTTTTTTAGAAACTGGAAACTGGAAATTCTAATAAAGAAAAGATTTATGCAAACAAACAAATCTGAGGACAAAAAAGTAATTCTATCTGTTAAACACTTCAACCCCTAAATTGAAAAACTAATATCAAATGAAAGAACGAAAAACCATAAATTCGTAGCATAAAAATCTTACTGGTGGCATCAACTCAGAAGGCCCTTGGAAAATATACAAACGAGATGACCTGCACAATAAGAAAGTAGAAAAAATAACCACAACCTGACATAATATCTTATTTCTCTCCCTTGTTTCCTTTTTCTTCCATAAGTAAACAAACAAAGACCATCCAACATGGTACATGAGGTGAATGCAATGAAGCATTAGAAAAGTTCAGAAAGTGTAGAGCAAACTGAACCCCAAGCTATTAAAAATAAAACCAATAGAAACTTATACACCTAATCTGCAAACTCCCAACCCCCCTCACCACCATCTTCCCCTATGTTTGCAGGCCTATAAAAAAAGAAATGATGAATTTACAAGTGAAGAAAGTACGCCTTCTGATCAATACTTATATCATTTTTTACCACCATAAAATCTATGAGGCCCAAGGGATTCTGCATAAAGGAGCTAAGCCAAATAGTCCTTTAGTGGGGACAAGGGACAGACCGATATATGAACATCAGAATAACATGCAATGCTCAACCAAATTTTGGATCTATGACTGATATTGCATTTTCCCTTTACAAAAGATACCAATCAAATGAGCAATTAAAATAATACAAAAGAAAATCAACCAGATGAAAGGCATTGAAAGAAAGATGAAGAAATGAAAATATGAGCAAATCAAGACGCCCAAGCACAAGTATACTTACTGGCCAAACCGAATGACATCACCTACGTGTAAGTCCACATAAGTCCTTTTTGTCACCTAATTATTTAGGAAAGAATATCAACTCAGCATGAGATATGACAAGCACAAGAAATTATAATCTAGCAGAAAGTCCATAAAATTTTCCACATAATATCAAACAAGCAACTTAAAGCAACTGGACAACCAAACATCAATTGCTTATGATAACAGAGGTTCAGTCATCTTCACCCTCTACAAGAGATATACAAATCCCGAACAAATTAAGAATATGTATGTTTATCTACTCTTTGCTTGATTGAATCATTAAAAAAGAAATTATAAGCATCAATAACTTCCTGGCTGATAGAAGCAAAAATAATAGGAGAAGAAAGGATTTATGCGAGGAAGCCCAGCCAATACTATTGAACATTGTAAGCATAGCTCTAAAATGTCCAACTGTAACAACCTAAGGCTAAAAATTCAAATTATAGATAAGATATCCTGAAAATGCCCCCAATAAAAGAGATCAAAATTTCAAAAGCAGCAAATAAGTGAAAGAATCCAAGATAAAAATTTCTAGCATGAAGCAGAGAGTTGACCTGCAAATATTACCATCTTAGCCAAAAATCCAAAAAAAAAAAAAAAAAAACTGAAACAAGGTAGCATGATAATATGCAACTCAATAAAACAAACAGAATACAGTTGCATGGCAATACCTGACTCTTGTTGATAAAAGTGCCATGCGTACTGCCAAGATCATAAAGATAGGCCTCCCCGCTGCTCCTGAACTGAAGCACTAGTAAAGAGAAACAAGTAATTAAAAATAACAAAAGGAAAACCATTAGCACATTCCTATGATTAACGTTCTACTTAATCCTAGAATTCCTATATTTGTGCATAAAACCATAAATATTTCAAGTGCAACAAACAGCCTACTAATAGTATTACAAGGATAAGGAAGAGGTAAAAAATTTACAAGAATAAAATCTCATCAAACACCATCTTTTTTGGGCAATGTAAAAACACAATTTTGTTTAGTTCAGATGCCACAAATTTGTTAGTGGGGTGGTGATGAGCAAGTTTTTGTAAAATAGAAAACACAAGTGAGTTAATTGGAGATTAGAGAATGCATTCATTGTGCTGCCCAAGACAAATCAAACTTCTAGAGGGTACAGAGTCTAACATTTTAGACAAATTTGATTAATTGGTTCACAAGAATATAACAACCCTCACATGCTATCATGTCAGGCAGCCAAATATGGTTTATTATAAAGTACAAAGAGCAGCCAGACGGAAGAGTTCACCAAATCATAAAAGCTATACTGCATAAAATAAAGATAACTACATCTTAGTTGGCCAACTTAAAGAATCAAAATTGGAGAAGGTTGATAGCCTTCATAATGAACTTGAAATATGTTACGCCAATAACCATAACATTGACGATGTAAACTTCACAAAGTAGAAAAAATCTATAAAATCTTTGTTTCTTGGGCATCCAACTGATTTGCCATTTAAAATCATACATTTTCTTACTTAGCTAATTGAATCTACTTCCTTAGAATCCCAACAAAATAACATATTGTAGTCCTTATTTTATTCTAGAAACAAATATTTCCACAAAGACAAAAAATTATTTTCAACTCCGCGAACCAAACTTAAGTTATTTAATAACTAGCTTAATGCTCATAGAAAATTAAAATAGTCAAATAAAAAGATTTACCAGCATGAAACCGCGAAATAGTGGGATGCTCAAGCACAAAATCGCAGAGATCAACACGCCCAAACATATAGGCTCCCTTCTCGTTCCTATAAAAACAAATTTCACTATTATTCAACAATTCCAAAAATAAATAATAAAAATGATGGCTTCAAAGGAAAGGGTAAAGTAATTACACTTGAAATTGGTCAACGATGCAGCCATCTTTAAGGACCTCAAGGAAGAAGCGGTGAGAAGGAGGTCCACTCCACTGAGGGATTGTGTAAGGTACAGAAGATTGCTTTGAATTTGATTGCTTTTCAATTGAATTCGGTTCTGAATTTGAATTTGATTGTTTTTCTTCGTCTAGGGAGTTAGGGTTTTTTGGAGGAAGTGGCGGAGGACCCATGGAGGATTTGTCTGTTGTGGGTTCGGATTCTTCTTGGATGATCAGTTCGGGTTCCGTCGACGGGTTAGGGTTTCGGGGAGGTGGTGGACCCATCGCGGATGTCATGGCTGCAGAGAGAGAGAGAGTGAGGCGTAGAGGCGTTGCAGAGTCCGAGGAGACTAACGCGCCACGGCGAGCTACGTTAAACAGATCTTAAATTGGGTTTGCACTAAAGGGGGAAAATGGGCTGCTCGGTTTTGGGTGGATCCATCTTTTTTTTTTTTTTGGGGAATATATGCAAGGAAATAGACAAGGCTCAAATTATAGAATTACAGACATATATAATAAGTCACATACAATACAAACCTATTGACATACTCTTGTGCTAATTTTTTTCCTCATTGCTTTTTTTTTTTTTTTCTCAACTACATTTTGGTATAAATTAAAAAATTGATTCATAAAAATATTAAAGATTGATTGAGTTCCTCCGTAAAGAAAGAGAGATTGTCACCCAACTTTCAAAAATCTATAATTATATATTTTCTTCAATTTTTTTGATAATAAAAAATTATAAAAATTAGGATTTAAATTTTATATTTATTGATGTTACCTCGAAAAGATACTAAATGAATCAATTAGGCTAAACTTCAATTTTATATTTTCTTCAATTTGATATTGATTTTTTTGGCCAAATTCTTGTTAATCTTAACAAACAAGGGTTAAAAAATTGCATCATTTTGGTGAAAATGGGAATAATTAATTTCATAGAGGCCGAAATACTTTTACCAACTATTTCTAAATTGACCAATATTATGTTGTTTAGTGGCTCAATACCTACATTGTTTTTTATCAAAACTTTGTATTCAAGCATCTCCCTCATATTTTGCTTATGGAATTGCTGTCATCTATCACCAAAACACCAATTAGATACAGTCCAAATGATGCTGAACCATCGATGCTGTTGATGAATAATACAAATCTGCTGTTAATCTTTATTTTAATTAATATACCAGAAATGCAAATCTTTTTCCAACTTGTAAAAATGTGAAGCAAATTGCACATTTGCAGTATATAAAAATCCTGGAAACATCAAAAGGCGTTGTAATAATCTGAACAACCCTAAGTCCCTGGATGATCAATTATTTCCAGAGAAGTGAAACAGACATGTACATTCACCCAACAGTACATTTGATTCATAAAAACGTAAAAAAACAAAGCACCCAAAAAAAAAAAAAAAACTAAATGTACTTTAGATCATGGAGGTGGATGTTGGTAGACAGATTGTACTTTAGTTTCCAACAAAGAAACATATCTATCAAGAACTGAAATCACAGCTTCAAACTCGGTGACTTGCTGTTCTATCGCATCGATCTGTTGAACATACTCATCAAAGTTCCCACTCTTGTTTTTCAACTGTTCAACAAATACCCTTAACCCAGATGCCACATCCCCAAATCCTTTATATTCCTCTGCCACCCTCAAATTCATCTTCTCCAATAGCTCCAAAATATTGTTAGTTCCCCTGCAAAAACGATGGGTAAAACAAAAAATGGGCAACCTCAAAAGGATATAAAAATTGACCCATACATGTCAATTTATGAATGTAATTGGAGTTTTGTAGAGAAAATGTAGATGGGATTTCTTTTTTGTTGGGAGTTATTGGGTTCGGGGATACCTGAAGTTCGGATTTGACCATGGAGGAGAGGCTGGTGAAGAGATCGTTGAGCGACTCGGCAAGCTCGTCTTGGACCTCTGGATCTTTATCAGCCATCGCTGGACCCAATTTTTTGTGTTTCTTTTCTTCAACGATGGGATGAAATTGGTTGTTGAAGGAAGTAAAACATATTAACTATATTAATGGACCAAACCCAATGGGTTGGCTTGGGTTGGGCAATTAGCTTGGGTTGCCTTTTCAAAGTAAAGTCCTCACTCATTTTGGTCCAAGTCCAACTATTTAGATATTTTTTAATATTTTAACTGATAATTATTTTTAATTTTTTTAATATTTAAAATAAATAAATTATTCAATTCTTTAAATCAAGATAAAATATATCATACCTAAAAATTTAAAAAAAAATAATTGTAAATTGTACATTTAAGATGACATCAATAAACGATCATCAATATAATTCGAATTCAAAATTTTTTTATAAAAAAAAAAATTTTTAATCAATTAAATCAATCACTTATTAATGATATTTTCTTTTAATTATTTCATCGAGCTAGAGCCCTTCGCAACATTATACTATTTCATTTTTTTGTTTCGTCTAGTTATTTCATTTAAGGTTGAACGTTAGTAAGTGGAAACCATTTAACCTGACAAAAATCGTTTGCATTTGGTAAATTTGAATTGATTTAATCAATTTCAAGTATATGACAGTTTCACTCTCGACTTTAATAATTTTCTTATCAATTGTCAATGTTAAATTTTGAAATTTGATCGAAAAACTAAATTACCCTAATTAATTAATAAGATATATTATTAATATCTTTTAATCTTTTGCTTTTTTACCCATTTTACCAAATGCAACCCTAGCCCCAAATTTTTCCCTCTCATTTGCTTTGTTTTTTGCAGCCTTGCCTTCACCGTCACACCCATATCACCTCACGTACCTCTCGATC